CACAAAGTAGAAACAAAATAACCTTGGAGGATAGGGTACTAGCATCCAGGGAGGGCCATGAATGGTCTCAGGAGGCACTTGATCTGAGTCTGGAAGGCAACTGGAGACTTTAAGAGGCAGAGATGATAAGGGAGAGAGGCCCAGGCACCAAATGAAGCCAGTGCTAAGGCACAGAGATGGAGTGTTGTTTGTGAGGAACTTACAGTAAGTACTCCAGTATGGCTGGAGATTGTGAGGAGAGGAACAATAGGTAAGAAAACTGGAGGAGGATTGGGGCTTAAAGAGCTTTAAATACCAAACAAAGGAGTTTGTATTTGAGCCTGAATGTAATGGTTTAGGAAAATCACTTTGGCTTGCTGTATGGAGGCTGGACTGGAATGGGGAGAGAGACTTGATGCAGGGGCACCAAATAGGAATCTAATGTAAGAGGTGATAAAAGCCTGGACCACAGCAGTGACACTGTGAGTGGAGAGACAGGGACAGATTTAAGAGATGTGGAGAAAATGGCAACAAAATGTGGCAATTTATTGGCTATGTGGGATGAGTGAGTGTGAGGAGTCAGGGATGATACCCTAGTCCTGAACTTGAGTGACTAAGAGAATGATGGCATCCTTGACAGTAATGGGGAGGTTCAGAAGAAGGTGAGTTTGGGAGGAAAGATAATGAGTTGTGTTTTGAGTGCCTTTGAGTATGAGGTGCCTATAGAACATCCAGTTTGAAATATGGACAGTTGGCATGGGATTGTAGCTAAGCCTTCTAAGTCCTTCGGCTCAGCCTTTTGACTGAGTCCAAGTTTTACGAATGAATCCTTTTTATTAAGGGTGTTTGTTCTGTGAAGTTTGGACTCAGTCACAGGGCCACACTTGAGGACTTAGAGGGCCACATGTGGCCTGGAGGCCACAGGTTCCCCACCCCTGAGCTAAGGAGAATGACTAGGCCTGGATTGCATAGATCTGCAAGTCATCTACATAGAGAGATGACCGCTGAAGCCACAGGAACTAATGAGACTACAGAGAGAAAGAGAGGAGGGCCAAGGACAGAGCCTTGGGGGAAAACCAGGATTAGTTGGAGTGTCATAGATGAAGAATGAGTAAAAGAGACTGAAGAATGGCCAAACAGGTAGAAGAGAGCCAATAACAAGCAAGGTCACAAAACACTCCATGAGAGAGAATATCCAAGACCAGATGGTGATTAGTGGTGTCAAATGCTTCAGAGAGGTCAAGAAGATAGGAGGATCAAGAAAAGGCCATTAGATTGACTCTATCAGAAAAAGCAGTACAAGGATGCTCTCAAGGTCTCTCAAAAAAAAAAAAGGACCTATTTGTACAAAAATATTTATAGCACCTCTTTTTGTGGTGGCTAAGAATTGGAAATCAAGGGGATGTTCATCAATTGGGGAATGGCTGAACAAGCTGTGGTATATGAATGTAGTGGAATACTATTGTACTATAAGAAATTATGAACAGGCTGACTTCAGAAAAACCTGGAAAGACTTACATGGACTAATGCAAAGTGAAGTGAGCAGAAACAGGAGAACGTGGTACACAGTAACAGCAGTATTGTAGGATGAAGAATTGTGAATGACTTAGCTATTCTCAGCAATACAATAATCTGAGACAATCCCAAAGGACTAATGATGAAGCATACTGTCTGCCTCCAGAGGGAGAACTGATTGTCTGAATACAGATTGAAGTATGCTATTTTTCACTTTCTTTCGTTCTTTTTTTTTTCAAGTCTTCTTGTACAAAATGGCTGCTATGGAAGCGTTTATCATGACTGCGCATGTATAACCTATATCTGATTACTTACCATCTCAGGGAGGAGGGAGGGGAGGGAGGGCTCGAATTTACAACTTAAAATTTTAAAAAAATGTTAAAAATTGTTTTAACATGAAGCTGGGGGAAAATATTAAGTATTAAGAACTTTCTTATTGAATGTGAGAAATGGGAGCCGATGGCACAGGACCAATCCAGCGTGGCATGCCTGCATCAAAAAAGGTGCTATATCCATGAGCAAAGCAGAATTGCAATAGCGCAAAGGAAACATGAACTATGCAAATCCAGAGACGTCTCCATCCCAAGTGTTCTAACAGGCTACTTATGCCCTACCTGTAGTAGAGCCTTCCAAACTCTGGTTGTACTGATTAGCCGCAGTCAAACACTCTGTACCCTGACCCCAGCATTGTGATATCATTGGTCCTCTTTAAAAACAAAGTGGGGGAAAGGTGGGTGGTTGGGATGGTGGGGGCAAGGAGAGGGAGTGTGGAAGTAAAGTTCAGAAGGGTTGCATTGTGTTTCTGATCAAGGGAATACCTATACCAATAAAAAGATATTTGGAGTATTTAAGAGTGGTTATCCCTAAGTGAGCTCTTGCTTAGTCTCTGCCCTCCTTACTTATTCAGTCTCCATCTGCGTGGTACAACTTCTTAGCAATGCTAGTTTCTCCTCCAGTTATCTTTTCTTCATTTTCACTTTCTTCTGTAAGCCTTGTGAGTCATAGTTAACAAAACAAAACAAAACTACTAATTTGAGGCCATTAAGTCATTGTATGGCATTTAGCATTCTTTTCATAGTGCTACCAACCATACTCACCTACAAAGTTTGGTATTCTGTTTATTAGGCAGGTAAGGGTGGTCACTGTTTGAGACCTTCAGAGGTACTATAATTTTCTTTTGATAATGATAGGTCATAGCAAAATGTATTTATTTTAGATTTACCCTAATAATGATAAAAACCAATCCAAATCGTTGTTTTAAATGCTAAAGGTTTATTTTGTTTGCTTAAGAGTTGTTTGAAGTGTTAAGTAGCTTGTGGTAAGGTAAAAGTTAAGCTGGCCGGCTGTCAGTACCTTTACAAAGATGACCTCTACTGAAAATGAAGGTTAAGTATCTGGTGAAGGAGAGCAAAAATTTAGTTTTATTAAAACAGGAGAAGAAAAAAGAAAAAAAAACAACTAAGCCCTGAAATAGTAGAGACATGTGTTGCAAACTTTCTCTAGTCTTCTGTACCTAGAGAAGGGTGAACTAGGTTTTTTGTACACCAATCTCAACTTTTTTCTAAGCTGAAAGAGTTGGAGGCATATCAATTAGGTCATTCGCATCATAACAAATAATATTTATTTTAATGGTGCTTTGTATAAAGCATTTTCATATATTATTTCCCAACATGTATTGAATAGTTAGTATATTCAAAATAGTGTTATTGCTTTGGAAGAAAAATCCAATATGATTATTCAGGGTTTCTCTTTGAAGTAGTAAAAGGAAAGATTACATAGCATAACATTTAAAGGTTCCCAGAAAGAAGTATCAAGTTTCCTTTGAGTATTTCTTTATATCTTTTTGATTTTATGGGGAGAAAGAGAGAGACAGAGACAGAGAGAGAGACAGACAGACAGACAGAGAGGACTTTTTAAAAGCACCTAGTATAGGCAAGTCCATTATGGTTGATGGTAGGGATGCAGAGATGGAGAAGACATCTAAGACAGGATCTCTTTATCCCGTTGCTCAAGAGCTTAGTACAGGACATAAGATGGAGCACAGCTAATTACAATATGGATTAGAATGTGATCAACTCAAGAGGTCCACCCTGAAGAAATCACTAATTTTTTGAAGTTAAACTATGTTTGAAAGGTATAAACCGAGGAAAATGAGAAATCAGAGGAGGGGGGTGTGGGGGGGGGTTAAGAGATTGTGTGCAGCTGAGAAGGATTAAGAGAATCTTCATGGAAGAGGTTGTACCTGGGATCCAAATTTTACTTACTATCTCTGTGACCTTGGGCAGGTCACTTTACCTAGGGCTTAAACTTTTTCCACTCAGGACCCCTTTTTGAGTTTTGGCTTTTGTTGGTGTTGTGTGGCCTGAGGGCATGCACAGTGCAAAGAGCAAATGTTTTTGTGTTCAGAAGTGAAACTGCCTGATGCAACAAGGGCGATGCTGCCAGAAACACCTCGAAATCATTACGCATGTGATTTTTAATTAATTTTTGGTTGTTGTGGTTCAGAAACCTTGCAGTTTAAGAAGCACTGCTCTAGGGGGCAGCTAGGTGTCTCGTGGATAGAGCACCGGCCCTGAAGTTAGGAAGACCTGAGTTCAAATCCGACCTCAGATGAAACACTTGACACTTACTAGCTGTGTGACCCTGGGCAAGTCACTTAACCTCAATTGCCTTAAAAAAAAGGCAGAGAAAAAGAAGCACTGATCTAGGCCTCAGTATCCTTGTTTGTAAAATAAGAATGGAATAGGTCAGAGGCTGGCAAAGTATAACCCGTGGGCCAGACTGACCCACCACTTGTTTTTGTGCAGCAACAGAACTAAGAATGGGTTTTACATTTTAAAATACAATAAAACTTTAAGTTAATATAAATTTAAAATTTTATTTATTTAAAAATATAGAAAAACCATTCTCATGCATGGCTATACAAAAATAGGCAATAGGTCGATTTGGGTCTGGCATAGTTTGCAAACCCATGGAATAGATGGTCTATAAGGTCCTTACCATTCTAAATCTATGAGCCTTTGAGAGTGGGGGACATCTTAAGCAAAAGCTAAAGAGGAAGGAAAGGGCAGAGTGAGTTTGGAAGCATGGTGAGTAAGTAGTCTGGTTGTCTCCATGAGTGTAAGAGGAGATGGGGAAAGCACGTTAGAGTCTGAACTTGAAAACTTAATTATATTAGGTAATGGCCATAAATTTCACACTTGTTTAACTTTTAGGAATGCTGAAATGTATATGTATCATACTATTGGTATTATCTTACAATACTTATATAACAGTATATAATACTGATGGTAGATAGCATTGTAGATTTTGCTTTTGAAAATTAATTGTAGGGAGCAGTTAGGTGGCACAGTGGCCCTGAAATTAGGAGGACTTGAGTTCAAATTCTGTCTCAGACACTTGACACTTAACTAGCTGTGTGACCCTGGGCAAGTCACTTAACCCCATTGCCTAGCAAAACAAAACAAAATGAAAATTAATCGTATTATTTTTTTTTTCATTTTCAGGGCAGGTCAGAGTCTTCCGAGCTCTGTATACATTTGAACCCAGAACTGTAAGTATTCAATTTCTCTTTAGTTATAACATAAAACTAAGTTTCTTATTTATGTTAACTCCAAATCGTTTGTCTTACTTTTGATTAGAAGGAATAATTTTCTATGATGAATATTTAATCGTTTCCCATGTAAAGTGGGTGATCTATTTTCCATTGCCTCCATGTATTGTCCCTTCACCCCTTAACCTCCTGGACGTGGTTTCAGTCTGCTCCACTATTCTTAAGGCCAGGTGGCACAATGAATAGAGCACTGGACTTGGAGTTAGGAAGGTAGACCAATGCCTACTTCGAGCCTCAGAAACCTCCTAGCTGTATGAGCTTGGGCAAGTTATTTAACCTCTTTCTGCCTCCATTTCTTCAACCTTAAAATGAGGGTGATAGCACCTACCTTCTAGGGTTGTTGGTGAGGATCAATGAGGTAATATTTAAAAAGCACTTAAGACCATACCTATTACATAGTAGGGGCTTAATAACTATTTGATTCTTCCCTTCTTTTCTTTCTTCCTTCCTCCTTTCCTTCTAGCCTTCCTTCAACCTGCATTTTCAGAGGTGGCCAGTGTCTACTTAAAATGTCACATGTTTAGTGGCTTTTTTTTTTCAGTTTTCTTCCTCTTTGACCTTTGCATTATTTACACCAGCAGTTTCCAAACCTATTTGGCCTACCAGCCCCTTAAAAAAAAATTACTCAGTGACCCCCTGGAAATCTGCTTTCTTTAACTCTTTTTAATTGCATTATTTAAAAATAATTTTTTAAAATGATGCATCTTAAATTTAATAATTTATTGTAAATTTGTGGGGTTTTTCTTGCATTGAAATTTTGATGATTCAGTACCGTGTCATGTAACTGTATAGTGTCGTATTGTAAACAATTCATTACATGCATATGCTGGACTTCCTGACTAGTGGGACATGATAACCTGCCAACACTTGCTTGTTAAGAACTGTTGACGGATTTGACCATTCATGGGTTATAACTTGCATTTTTTGAGTTTATTTGGAAAGCACTGTAATCATTATGACTTTAACTATTATACCACAGATGGAACATGTATGAACAATTTTTCAAAATTTTCTTATCTTCTTTCCTTATGCTGCCACTTATTTTTATTCAATACCCCCCAATTGCACTGGAGGCTACTATTCTCCCCACCCCATTGTTCCAGCACCCAGGCCAGTATGGCCCACTTTGGGAACCTCTGATTTACATTATTCACTGTCTTCTTGGAATTTTCTCCTCCTTTGTCTTTTTAGATGCTCTGCTAACCTGAGTCTCCTTCTGCCTCTCTGGCCTGCTCTATCTCTTGTCCCAGAATCACCGAACTTTAGAGCCTGAAGGAAACAGACCTCATGAAGACCATTTTCTTTGTTTTGCAGATAAAGGAAACTAAGACTTAGAAGGGGAAAGTGCCTTTCCCAAGGTCCCAGAACTAGCCAGAGTCTGGATTGTGACTCAGACTTGAGTCTTCTCCTTTCCTGACTTATCTCACTCCTCCAGGTCTACAAGCTTAACTTCTACTCTCAGCATTCCATACTTTCTCTTTTACAGATTTTATCCATTTTAGCAACTTTATTTTCACTTCTGTGTCACAAAAATAGCTCACTGTCCAATATATATGTCTCTACCTGTCTATTAATCTGTTTATCTATTCATTCGTCATCTGTCTACCTATCTATTGATATATTTATCCATTTATCTCTATCATTCTCTTTATTCATTTATCTGTTTATCTCTACATATCCATTGATCTATTCATTTATTAGTTTATCTGTCATTTATCTCTATATATCTATTGATTTATTGTTCATGTATGTCTTTACCTATCTCTGGATCTGTTTATCTGTTCATCTCTTTGTCTATTTATTCATCCGTCTCTATGTCTTTAGAAGAAATCTGACTGCTGTCTCTCTGTCTTTGTTCGTCTTGACCTCTAAAGCTTTATTTCTGAGTACCACTTGGATATCCTGCCTTCCAGTCAAGCTACACACATTTTAGAAATATCCGTCTTCCTACAAAGAAAGTTAACTTTTTCAACCTTTTGTATCTGAGAATGGTATGATATAGTGGAAAGGATGCTGGGCTTGGAATCAAAAGTTCTGGTTTCAAATTCTGCCACACATACTTACCAGTCTTATGGCCATATACATGTGACACATCCTCTCTTGTTTCCTCATCTAGAATCAAAAGCATAGATTTCTAACTAGAATGAGTCTATGTTCTACTCTTCTCACTTTACAAATGAAGACACTGAGTTCAGGGCAAGTTAAATAACTTGCCCAAGGTCATATAGTAAATGGCAAAGATGGGATTTGAGCCTCGGTCTTCTACCTCCAAATCCAGCTCTCTTTTCTCTTCACCGAGCTACCTCTGTGAAATAAGAACACTAATACCTCTCTCATGTGGTTGATCAGATCAGATGAGATACTGTACATAGATCACTTTGTAAACCATAAGATGTCATCTAAATATCTCTTACTATCATTAGTATTACTGAGAAGCATCACAGATAGTCTTGAAGTCAAGAAGATCTGGATTCAAATCCTGGCTCATTTTTTTTTGACCCTGGACAAATCATTTAACTTCTCACTTCCTCCAGGCAACTCATTAACTTTATAAATTGCCTAGCTGATGCTGAGTTGCTTTGGTGGAGGAGGGAGTTTTTGCATCTGAATTTTGGTCTATCAGTGAAATCACAGATCTAGTCTGTCATTATTAAAAATCTATTAGTATGTTTTGCCATTTCCAGAACTATTGGTATTGTGGTGGTGGTTGTGATTCAATAACAGTATTTCTGAAAGTGATTTGACTAATTATGTAGGTTTGAAACCTGAAAGTTCTTTCTGATTCCACTCTTACTAGATCGCCAGTATCTAATTGGTTATCAAGGTAGCATGGCATTGTGGAAAGAGTAGTGACTCTGAAACCAAAGGTCCTGGGTTCAAATCTCTGGTGCTTCCTACTTATGTGACCCTGGGCAGGCTACTTAATCTCCTTGGCTTCAGTTTTGTCATCTGTAAAATGAGGGGGTTGGATTAAATGGCTTCTAAGGTCCCTTTCAACCCTTGATCTATGACTCATTGCATTTGGTTCTTTTGGTCACCATTTCCTGTCTTTGGTTTTAAAGAGTGGAGTACAGGACAGACCCAGTAAGGTACAACCTGGTTGTTCCTTCTCACTCGCTAACAGCTTCTTTTACAAACCTGGTGAAACTGGATAAACCAGAGTAGGGAAACTAGGGCAGACAAGAAAGACGTATTTCTGGTCTGTGCAGTGTACTCTATTGATTTCTTTAGAAGAAAGCCGTCTGCTACCTCATCCTGATCCAGTCCTGTTTACCAAAGCCTTTACAGGATGAGGAGATGGAGGGAGTTAATATTGGCTTGAAGCCCTACCCACAATTGCCTGCTTTTTACTCTTCACACTTCCACATGTACATCTAAACCTCTTTTGGACGTCCAAGATTAAACCCTCTGGGACTTGCTCAGTGGGTGTTCCTCCTTCTGTAACTGTGTGTTGCCTCATACTGCTACTCTCTGAGTGTACATGTGATGACTCACCTATTAGATACTGGTCTGTCCTAGTCGTTTATGTCAGAGGTTAGTTGGGGAAAGTTCAAGTTTTCCTTTAAGAGGAGAATTCAGTTAAGATAATTAGTAGAGAATTAGGAAAATAGTTCATCTTTCCTTCCAAGGGTGGGCGTGTGTGTATGTGTGTGTATCTGTGTATGTGCCTCTGTGTGTGTGTGTGTGTGTGTGTGTGTGTGTGTGTGTGTATCTGTGTCTGTGTCTGTGTGTGTCTGCCCTCCATCTGAAGACCACAGTAGATTGCACCGTATCCTAATTCCAGAGTCTCCCCTTATTCTAGCTCTGAGATTCTATCCTCTGGCAGAACTGATTGGTAAATATGTAATTGAATTAGAGAAAGGGACTTTGAAGCTATGAAATCCTTTTAGCTTGAGTTCGCTGCTAGTCCCTATGAGTTATTTATATTAATGATTGACTCATTTTCATGTACATGTCAGCTTGTTGTATGGTGGTTTAAAACAATGTCAGTCTCCTCACTTTATGGGCACACCTTGAATAGATATGAGTCCCCTGCTGCTGCTAGTGCCTTCCCCTCTCAAGGATACCTTGTGGCTACTTTGTATGTATCTCACAGGCATATCTCAGAGGTATTGCAGGTTTGCTCCTAGACCACAGTAAAGCAAATATCACAATAAAGCCGGTCACATGAATTTTTTGGTTTCCCAGTACAAATAAAAGTTATATTTATACTATATTACAGTCTATTAAGTGTGCTATAATATTACATTTAAAAACTTTACATACTATAACTAAAAAATATTTATTACTAAAAAATGCTAACCATCATCTGAGTCTTCAGTGCATAGTAATCTTTATGCTGGTGGTTTTGTCTCGATGTTGATGGCTGCTGACTGATCAGGGTGGTGGTTGCTGAACGTTGGGGTGGCTGTGGCACTTTCTTAAAATCAGACAACAATGAAGTTTGCTGCTCTTCTTTTCAGAAAGTTTTCTCTGTAGCATGCAATGCTCTTTGATAGCATTTTACCCACAGAATTTCTTTCAAAATTGGAGTCAGTCCTCTCAAACCCTGTTGCTGTTTTATCAACTAAGTTTATGTAATATTCTTTATTACTGTCTCAGGGAATAGGGAGTCTTGAGGAGAGGAAAAGAGAAGGGGGGACAGCTTGTTGGTGGAGCAGTCAGAGCACAAACACTTACCAATTAAGTTTGAAGTCTTATGTGGATGTAGTTCATGGTGCCCCAGAATGACAATGGTAACATCAAAGATCACTGATCACAGATCACCATAATAGATATAATAATGAAAAAGTTTGAAATATTGCAAGAATTAACACAGTATGGGAGGTGGCTATGTGGCACAGTGGATAGAGCACTGGCCCTGGAGTTAGGAGGACCTGAGTTCAAATCCAGCCTTAGACAACATAACACTCACTAGCTGTGTGACTCTAGACAAACCC